GCCAGCAGGGGGCGGCCAGCAGGGGGCGGCCAGCAGGGGGCGGCCAGCAGGGGGCGGCCAGCAGGGGGCGGCCAGCAGGGGGCGGCCAGCAGCTGGTGTAGTGAGCACGGATGAGCCGCGAGCAGAGAGGCGTCGAGCAGAGTGGTGAGCGCCGAGCGGTTAGTGAGCCGCGTGCAGAAGAGCGGCCAACGATGACGGTCAGCGGCGTGTGGGGGCGGCGGCTAGAAGGGTCTTGTTCTCGCCGGCGGACACCCTGCAGTGATAACTATTACGGGAACAGAAACAAACCAAGGCCAAACTGTAAAATGTAACAAAGTACGATAGAATAGACGGTTCCGGAAGTGCCCGTTTAAAGAAGAATTAAGGAAATCAGCACCGGAAACCGTACTTATATAACGGCGAAAGCAAGTGCAAATGATCCTTGACCGTTACGAGGGTGTCACTACAGGTCATTTTCGTCGAACTGCACTGTCAAATGATCAAAATCGGCCAACTTAAGGGGTACTGGTTCCGGTCCAGACTTCCTTGCTTTTTCTCAAAACGCGCACAGCCGGAACCATCTATTGATTACTAACCTATCATTGGGTGCAGTGGATCTTTGCGATCTTCAATCATTTAAGTCTCTTCCAGATATATTGTCCATTCCACGAAGTCTCGATGCGCGTCGTTACCTCGCCACGACTGTCCGCGCCGACCCCTCTGCTGTCTACACTCTGAAGCGCAGATTCACCATCCCCCCCCCCCTTTGCCCGTAAATCCCTTATTCTCGTTGACTGTTGCTAGTCATTCCGTCCTGTGTGTTGTGTACCCAAGTTGTGTTTGAATAGAACGCAGACTGCCATTTTAAGTCTGTGAGACTGGGAGATCTGGCTATGAGCTGCCAACAAAGGCCCTATTTGACTCTATTCACTGAGCCTACCGTGAGTCGATCGCCATCCAGCCGCAGACTCACGGAGCGCCGAGTCCAGCGAGTCCAGCGTCGACAACGACTGCCACACCGTGCACCCACGCAGAGAGCTTCAGACTGGAGCACTTGGAAAACTGCACTTCACTACACTGCACAGCACTTCCAGGCCAAATGCACGCTTTGCATTGCAACACTTTCACTTATTTTGCCACTTTGTACTTGACACTGAACTTGATACTTGCATATCAAGGCCCAGGCGGGGGGGGGGGGGGGGGGGGGTCAATGCGGGCACGGCTGCAACAAGTCCGGCGCGACCCGCGCCTCGGCGGCAGCAGGATGAGACGGGGGCTCCAACTCCAAGCGGCGGGTGAGCAGGCGGGGGGCGCGAGGCACGCGGGCCAGACAGTCCGAGGCTGCCAGAGATTGTGTGGAACGACATAAAGCGCGTCGCAGAGGTTATGTCACCGAGGTTTAGGGTTTCGGCAGGTTTAGACAGCAACAAGTGAGAGCGAGCTCCGTGCTGCGTCGCTTTGCCGCCGCCGCCAGCCGCCACGGCCCGGACCAGGCCCGGGCAGGCGGTGCGGTGGAGGGGGAAGCTGGAGGAGAGGGGGTATTCACAGGTGGCTCTCGTGCGTGGATTTCCTAGCGGCGGGGGTGATACCGACCAAGCTCAACGAGAAATCAAAGAGATTCGTCGTCTCACCACATTTGTTTTCCCCATATGTCAGTATGGCTGGCTCTCCCAAAAATAATTCTAAAACCAAGGAAATGATCAAAAATCAGCAAATTGTGCTAGAGCCTATCCATCGAGGGGGAAACGACTAAGGTAATCCGGCTGACAGCCGAAAGGTAATCCGGCAGGGGTAATCCGAGGAAATTCTAAAAAATCAGTGGTAATCCGGCGAAATTTTGGGGTAATCCGGGAAAATTTTGGGGGTAATCCGGGGTAATCCTAGAGAAAAAGCAACGAAATCCGGAGGTCACTCCGGAGGTAATCCGGGTAATCCGTCATCCGGCTGACACAAAGTTTAACAGTCGTTTCCCCCTTGCTATCCATTCAAATTTTGAATAATTCGTAGCTTCTGCGCACGCCATTTTCATTTTTAAGAGTGAGGTTCAAATTTAAAGGACCTGGTGTATCGGTGTCGTGGGGACGCCTTATCTGCCTGGGCCCATTTAAAATTTTCAGAGTGGAGTCCATGTCCATATGGTTTCCGGTTGAGCAGAAGCGGGGAGAGGGGGGGGGCTGCGGGTCGGCCTGGCGCTACAAGCGGTTCCGCTAAAAGCAATGGCTAAGGAGGCCTATGTTTATAGTGCATAAATAGCAGGTAGAACATATACTTTACCCATCACGGTCGAAATATCTTCTTTACCACCCTAATAACGGAGATAGAGCAAAAGGTACGAAAATTAATCCTATAGGAATGACGAGTGGCTCGGGGTGCGAGACTACATATAAAATAGGTGAAGCGATAACTTTTGTTTAAGGGCCAATTTGGTCAGAGAAATTTCCTCTATCGCTTAAAGGGCGAGATAGAACCAAACGTTCGTTCGGGGATGGTTGTAAACGAAGAAACGAGAGAGAATCGCTGAGGTTGTCCCTCGAATAGTCCTCGTGTGTTCCCGCCCAAAGCCTATGGTACTTGCATTGTGAGCGCGTCGGAAGCGCGGGGGCGGGGCATGGCCGCTCATGTCACGAGTACGCCCCGCCACACCGCGGCCCCCGCCCCGCCGCGCCCCGCTCCGCCGCTGGCGCCCAGCTGGTCAGTGGAAGTACCCAGTAGTGTAAGTGTGTGGCGGCGCGGCCGGGTCGAGTCGAGCTGCATGGGACGGGACACGACTTGGCTAAATTTAGAGCAAACGCGCCTCCGCTAGGCGTGGCGCCAGGGGTCGCGGCGTGGCGCGGCGCGGAGGGTTTGCAGGCCGGCCCCATCCCGTCTCATCCTGGCCGAGGGGGACCCGCCGGCGTGCGTGCGAATCGAACGCGAAAAAGCAACGAAGTAGTCGCTCGGCGAGGCGTGCTGCGAGCGGGCCGTCGCGGGTCGCGAGGGGCTATCGGCCGCGTGGGGACGAGGGCGCCTAGCGCGACGCGCCGCAGCGGCAGTGACGCTCGGCTCGCGCCGCCCGCGGGCCGCCGTGGACATGGTGTAGCAGCGCAAGCAGCGCGTGTAGGATGACGGCCGTGTGCTGCGCGGGCCGCTGCCTGGGCTGCTGCTCGTGCTGCAGCTCGAGGCGGGCGCTGGCCCGGCGCGCGCGCCTCCGCGCCGTGCTGCCCGTGCTGCTGGTGCTGCTGGGCGCGGGCTACTGCGCGGCCTGGGGCGGCGCCTGGCCCGGCTGGAGGCTGGCCGGCGTGGCGCTGGGCGGCGCGCTGCTCGACGCGCTGGGCCGGCGCCCCGTGCTCGCGCTCTCCGTGCCGCTGCAGCTGGCCGCCGCCCTGCTGCACGCCCTGCTCGTCGTCCAGGACGGCGATGACGTCCCCGCCGTCATCAGGAGCAGCGGCGCCGAGGACGGGATCGCCTGGATGAACGGGACGGCCGAGCTGGAAGGTTCGTATCCGGAGTCGTCCATCTGCATTGCTCGCCAGAAGGAGAGGAGAATGTAAACAAAACAGAAGATCTGGCTTCAAACCTACGATGTCAACAGTCCTGCCCCTGCAATCCCTACGCCACCCATTGTAGACGAGCCAGAGAACTGGGCGTCGAGCTGAATGGCCTCCTCGGCGGGTGTATCTTTGACGATCCTCATCTCTCCCCGCAGAGGCCCTGAACGCAACTGCGGGCCCCGCCGTGGGCTCGGCGTACAGCGGCGCGCTGCTGGCGCGGTCGGCGTGCGCCGGCGCCGCGCTGGGGGTGGCGCTGCCCGCCGCGCTCTTCTACCTGTCGGAGCTGTGGCGCGGGCCGCGGCGCGGCGCCGTGTGCTGCGTGCCCGCCATCGCGGTGGTGGCGGGCCGCACGCTGGCGCCCGCGCTGGCCGCGGCGCTGGGCCCGCGCCTCGCCGCTCTGGTCGGGCTGGCGCCGGGGCTGCTGGGGCTGCTGCTGCTACTCGCCGTCGCGCCGCCCTCGCCCTACTGGCTGGCCTTCCGGGGCCGGGAGGTCATCCTCAGCCGGGCACTCGCCAGGTGGGTACCACCGTACCGCGGCAAAGGGAGAGTGATCATCAGTCATCAGCCGTTGAAAGTTGGAAGAAGTGGACAATCAATGCCATCATTAAGCATGTATCGCTTCTCCTCCCCGACAGGCTGCGTGGCTTCAGGGACGAGCGCGCGGTGCGGGACGAGGCGGACGACGTGGCGGAGACTGTCCGCGAGCAGCGCTCCAGCTTCTGCGCGGGCAACTACGTGGGCCCGTTCCTGGCGCTGCTGCTGGTGGGCACGCTGCCGCTGGCCGGGGTGGCGCTGCTGGACGAGAAGCACCGGCCCGCCGTGCTTCTACCGTTCGGCCCCTCCGTGGCCGGCGAGGAGGCGCCGCTGGGCTGGCTGGTGCGCGTGGCGTACGGCGTTGGCGCGTTGCTGGCCGTGGCCGCGGTGGCCGCGCTGGTGGACCGCTGCGGCCGGCGCCCGCTCCTGGTGGCGGCCTGCCTGGTTCTGGCCGCCGCCCACGCCACGCTAGGCTACTTCCACTACTTCCTGGGCACGCCGGTGCCGGCGCGCGCTGTCCTCGCCTGGTACATCACGCTGGGCGCGGTCGGGCTGGCCGCGCTAGCCGAGGCCTCCCTCGCGGCCCTGGCGTGGCTTGTGCTCGCCGAAGTGCTCCCCATGCGCACCAAGGCCGTCATCCCGACGGTGGCCGTTCTCCTCGAGGTGCTGGTGCAGTTCTGCCTGGACGCCGTGCGCCTCGGGCTGCCCCTGGGCGTGGATGTGGACGAGGACGGCCGACTCTGGCACGCGGCCTGGTGTTGGGCGCACGCCCTGTGGTGCCTGCTGCTGGCGCTGCTCGTCGCCGTCCTGCTGCCAGAGACCAGAGGCTTCAGCCTCGCCCAGCTGCACGAAATATTCAGAGGACCGAACAGGCAGAACCAGCAGACCCGTCTGTAGCCGCAGCCGGCGCAGCCGTGCGGTGCAACGAAGACTGTTTTAGCACAAACACATATTATACCGTGTGTTTTGTCAGGGCTACGACTCAACAGTATGCGGGTTCGCCTACTCGCTCCACCCGCAAGGTGCCATATGGCCGCTGGGGTATGCAAACCCGCAGGACTGTCGTGTCGTGGCCCTGACAAACAGCAACAGCCAAACTATGTAATGCTTTTGATTTTGACTCAGATTTACTTGTATACCCAAGTATTGCAGATTTGTTAAAGAAAGGGAAAACATTGAGGTGTCATTTTTTTTTCACGGGATTTGTTTTTGATATTAACTTGACATGAAGGAGGTCTATGCTGGTGACAAAATTAGGCCTATGTCTTGTCTTATACCACAAAGTTACCATGCAACAATAAAAATTTTCGTAAAAAGTGATGGAATTGCTTTGATTGGTTTTCTAACATAGCTACCTTTTAAGCTACTGAACTCATGAAGTCTTTACAACATGTCATTGTGAAATATATAAATTTAATTTGACTCGGGTTCATTCTGTTGGAAATTGCAGCATTTGCAGAATTTGCCTCGTCAAAAATTAACCACGAGAGAGGAGAGGGGGTTGGACGTTGTGAGGAAGTCTGCTCTGCAAGTCAAGCGTCTTCATCAAATTGCCCGCTATTGGCTGGTAGTTGCCGCAACTACCGCTAGGCGGCAGCAGTAGGGTGGGGTGGAGGGGGGGAGACCGAGTCTGAGTAGTCTGCTACCACTACACGATCAAAAGAAGTGGTTAGTTTACGATTGTAAATTGATGTCACACCTTTAAGAAGAACTTAATTTGAAAAGACACAGTTAATATCGTGCGTAATTATGTATTGGTTCCCAATTTTCAGAAGTTGGTGTATTGACACGCTGACGACATCTTAACAAATCGGATTTCGCAACAGGTGTTTGTTCATCTCGGGATCAAATTCCTGCTTCTCATCGATAACCGATAAACCGTCAACTGCAGTGTGAAGTTTTCTGAAAATTATACAACCAAGGAAAATAATGAGTGCCTTATTAGCTAATCGTGTTACAGCAAAATGGTATGTAAGGTAACTCTTGCTTATCTGTGTATTATGATACTATTTTTAATATGTGGTTTTTATTATACAGTTTGTGGAGTGTGCAACCTCATCGTTTGTATGCAACAAAAGAGAGAGTAATCGACAAAGTTCTAATAGCAAATCGTGGAGAGATAGCATGTCGTATTATGCGCACTGCGAAGCGTCTTGGAATGCGCACTGTTGCTGTTTACAGTGACGCAGACCTTAAATCGATGCATGTAGCAATGGTAATGTTTTCATCATTGCCTTTCACTCAAACTAAAATAACAATATGTTAACTTGAGCTTTTCATGAATTTAAACCATCAAATTTTTATAATACTTGTGGTCACAGGCGGACGAAGCTTATCATATTGGTCCAGCTTCATCCCAAGAGAGTTATTTAAGATCTGATAAAATTCTGCACATAGCGGAAAAATCTGGATGTCATGCCATTCATCCAGGATACGGCTTTCTCTCTGAAAATGCTGAATTTGCTGAACTCTGTGAAAAAACTAATATTTCTTTTATTGGCCCACCTGCTAGTGCCATAAGAGACATGGGTATCAAGAGGTATTGTGGACAGATTTCTCTGTCTTTAAGGTGAACTCTGAAGGATCCATAATTATTTTTTCACTTTATAGCACTTCAAAATCTATCATGGATGCTGCAGGTGTACCTGTTATCAAAGGGTATCACGGAGATGATCAAAATGTTGAGAGACTGGTAACTGAAGCTGATAAAATTGGATACCCATTAATGATTAAGGCAGTTCGAGGTGGAGGTGGGAAGGTAAGTAAATATCAGTTTAAAAATATACTTTGGAAATCGGTAATCCAAAATCTGGACGTAAGAATGGTATGTGCAACAGGGAATGCGTATTGCAACAAATCAAAATGAATTTAAAGCACAACTTGAGTCAGCAAAAAGGGAGTCCATGAAAGCATTTGGAGATGATGCAGTTCTTTTAGAACGTTATGTCCAGAAGCCCCGCCATGTAGAAGTTCAAGTGTTTGGTGATAAACATGGTAACTATGTTTACTTAAATGAAAGAGATTGTAGTGTTCAACGGAGACATCAAAAAGTTATTGAGGAGGCACCAGCAGTGAGTATTTGAGGACAATTTTTTTTACTAATCTTTGAATTAATAAACTAACCACATTTTTATCATACTGTCAAGTTTTTTTTCCCCTTAAAATTCTAGCCGGGTGTTTCTCCAGAACTTCGCGTTCGATTAGGTGAAGCTGCTGTGGCTGCTGCCCGAGCTGTTAACTATGTGGGTGCTGGAACTGTAGAATTCATCATGGATTATAGCACCCTTGACTTTCATTTTATGGAAATGAATACTAGACTTCAAGTTGAACATCCCATCACTGAAATGATCACAAATACAGACTTGGTGGAATGGCAATTGAAGGTAATGTGAATTATTTAGAACTTCAGTACTGCTATTACTGTCCATTATTGATTATTTCTTCCAAAAGTGATTTTCAAAACTTTTAAGGTGGCTGCAGGAGAAAAGTTACCACTGACTCAAGAGCAAATTCCTGTAATTGGTCATGCATTTGAAGCCCGTATCTATGCTGAAGATCCACGGAATAATTTTATGCCTGGAGCTGGTCCTCTCACTCACCTTGTTACTCCAGTTACAAGCACTGATGTTAGAGTTGAAACAGGTAAGCTTTTTGCTGCCGTACAATTTTACGGCACCTCTTTGGGACACATTCAGGAATTAAATAGGCTTACTTATTATAATGTATATTTCAGGTGTCCTGCAAGGAGATGAGGTTTCTGTCCATTATGATCCCATGATAGCCAAACTGGTTGTGTGGGGGAACAACCGGAGTGAGGCTTTGAGAAAACTTTACTCCAGACTGTGTGATTATAACGTAAGATTTGACAAGAATACCAACAATCTGCAGTATACTAACATCACAATACTAACTCTGATCTTCTATCTTTTAGATTGTTGGGTTGGAGACTAATGTAAACTTCCTCATGAATTTATGCCAACATAAGGAATTTCAGAAAGGGAATGTACACACAGGATTTATTCCTGAACACAATGATGAGCTTTTTCCAGAACAAAACTATTCCAGCAGTCTTCTTGCACAGGCTGCATTTGCATCCATTCTGTGCCAGCAGAACAGAGATGTACTGAATGCTGTACATGGAAATGATCCATTTAACAATTTCTCTGGCTTCCGTCTGAACCATAAACTCATTAGGAAATTTAAACTAGTAGGTGGAGGGCAAGGTTTGTAGTGTTCACCACAAATACTTTATCTGTTTGTTTTCTATATATTATGGCATTTTATTTTTGCGACTTTGTTTTTTTTCTCTCAGAACATGTAGCAGAAGTAAAATACAACTCTCCAGAAGACTTCAAAATTAGTATTAATGGAGGAGAAGAGCTGGTAGTATCTGGGTCACTGATAAAACATAATGGCAATCTCCAATTAGCCTGCTGTGTAAATGGTCACATGAGTAAGAGCTCTATAGCCGTGCATAAAGAAGACATCTTCTTGTTCACAGAGGTTGTTGATTGTCCCTCTGCATTCAATATATCCTACCTATGCCTGTTTCTTTCTTCTTTTATGTTTTTTTACTGATTTGATTACTTCTTACAGGAAGGGAAGTTCCAATTTTCCGTACCCACCCCTAAGTTTGTGAATGAATTATTAAAACTGAGTGGAGTTAGTGAAGGATCAGCAGTCTCTCCCATGCCTGGGGTAGTTGACAAAGTTTTTGTAAAAGTTGGTGACACAGTCTCTGCAGGAGATCCACTGTTAGTCATCATTGCTATGAAAATGGAAGTAAGTAACTATTGGTGCTGCATGTCAAATTAGGTATCAACTCTAAACAAAATTTGTTTTAAATGTTGTTTATTTCTTTTCAGTATGTTATTAAGGCTCCCAAAGCTGGTGAGATTTCTAAAGTCTTTTACAATGCAGGAGAAAATGTGCGCAAGAATGCATCACTCATTCAATTTCTTGGTGATGAATGAATTCAATATTTGCTCAGTTGTTGATACTGACAGTTCCAGTCAGAAATGGCAAAAGAACACTTTTTAAAACTTTGCACAGATCTGGATTTCCATCTTGTTTATTATTTTAAAAGAGTTCTTGCTCTTGTTTTATTTGTTGTTATTGTTGCTTTTTGTTATCTTTTCTGTTTGAAACATTTCTTAATTATGTTGGTTTGGCTTTGTGCAACAACTAGTCTAATTCAATTCCAGTTTTAAGTAAATCCTATTTTTATGTTTTCTGTTATTTACAATAAGTCCATCCAATTTAATGAAGTACAAATTACTATAAGTCTGATTTTTATGTGTGACTGTTTCCTGTGCTCAATTGTGTTTTAAATTATATCTCGAAATAGTGACTTGTTTCCTTACTTCGTCCGCACTGCATCCCAACTTGCTCGCAGCGTTCCATATACAGAAAGACACCTGTTTATTTTGTGTAATACGACTGCGTATCCCAGTCTCGTCTCGTCGCGAAGGTCAGCCGTCACTTCTTGGCTCTGTCCGAGACGAGTTGTATGGATGCCTCACGAGGTGGCAAGGTGTGATTAAGAGATACAAAATCTCCGTTACTGCCCCCGTCTGAAGTCACCACATGCACGCAATACTTTTATTTTTGAAGTTAACTTTTCATTACATTCGTCCGCAAATGTTACGAGATTCTCTATGAAAGCCTTGCAAGACAACGACGGCAATGATGACGCCTGCTACGCGCTGGGTCGGCGTACCAGTCAAGCAGCCGTGTTAAAACGGTGGTCCACCCAGGAGCCCAGCCGGGGGCTTCGGGCAAGAGCAGAATGTTTGACTGGCGCCCAACGTTACCTCGCGTCACCTCGGGGGACATTCATTGTCGGAGCACCTCCAGACAACGTGATGACGCCGAGGGAAGGGAGGACGAGATATCCCTTTCTCTCCTACATAATTGCAGCACAACTCCCAAGAAATGAGTTTAAGTTGTAATTGCGGAGTAATAACCGCGCGGTGTAGAGAGGCAGACGAGGTGCGGGGGCAGCTGTCGGCATCCAGCAGAGAGGAGCCGAGAGCCCGCTCCCCGGACGAAAGCAGCATCAGTTTTGTATTTTACACGGACTGACTGAGCGGTAGGCAGCCAGCCAGACGCCGATGCTTCTCTTTTTCACGTGGGACATGACGAACGGAAGGGGGGGAGGTACGAGCAATTTGATGCGGTGAGGGCGCCACAAGGTAACAACAACAACAGGACCAAACAGCGAGGCGAGAAAGAGAGGGGCCGGGTTGCCGAGGGAGAGGGGGGGGGGCGAGAGAGAGGGAGAGCGAAGGGGTGATAGAGGGAACAGGAGAGAAGTAAGTAAGTGATAGGCGACGGAGGGAGGGAGGAGGACGGACGCGAACACAGGAGATGACTTCGCGCGGGATGCTGCCAGTGATGGCAGGCTGCGCGGGGCCGGGCGGGGCGAGTCCGCCGGAGCTGCCCGGAGGCGAGGGGCCGGGACGGGGGGTAGCGCGGGCACTGGTTGGTGTCGGCGAGGGTCCCCTCAGTCCATCCGCGGACCGCTCCTCAGCAGCATGGGGACCTCCGAGTCCACGGCCCGGGACGCGCCACGGCGCTGCGTGGCCGCCGAGCGCGTCGCCGAGCTCCTCCCCGCCCTGCTGGCCCTGCTCCTGCTGGCGCTGCTGCAGCGGGCGGACGCCAAGCTGAGTACGTACTGCACCGAGTGGCAGCCGAGTTACAGTAAAGCTCAACTTCATGAACTTTGGGCGGCGTTCAAAGACATTGATCATCGAAATCCGTGGACTATAAAGTTCATTGAACTACCTTTTGAAGCGGGCTGCAACGTGCTGTGCTGATTATGAGCTTTGAACCACACGATTATTTGTTGTTTTTGGTCGTCTGGAAGAAAGGGCGATGGGTTATTATTCTTTAGTCTGGACACTCCTCAAGAAATCCTGCAGAAGAGCCGACGACAATACGCCTCACTTTGCTACCGGACTTGTCCCTGGCGCCTTACGGAGCGGCGGGGTAGGCAAGTCCGCCCAGCGCGTGTGTTCGACGGGACCGTCGGCGGGCCGGGCGCCAGGCGTCAATGCGAACCGCGTACATAAGTGGTAAGGCCAGCCAGGCCGGGGCGAGCACCTTAACCCCTAGGGCGGTTTGGGAGGTGGGGGGGGGGGGCATCCGTTTCCAGATTCTCAGGGCTCCTTGCGCTTCACGAGGCCGCCGCACTTACTCGCGACCGCAGAGCCGCTAACTCCTCGGCCAGCGGAGGTTTACGGCTGATGAGCGGGCCTCCGGGTACGGTCGCCCGGTCGGCGCCCCCTTCACGAAATGTGAATGTGAATGCCAGTGAACAGTGAACTTACGAGTTCACCAAAACGGCTCCCCCTAAATATCGATAAAACAATAAGGCATCTCTGCACGGATTTAGGTATTGATAAGTTTGTACAAACATTAAAACAACAATAAAATTACGATAGCTAATTACTGTAAGTCTGTCAAAAACATACAATATCACTATGTCACGCCGCGCACTTTTGTAGTTATTCTGTTACCGCATGCACGCGTGTGGGCGGGTTGCCTACTCGCTCGGGGCCATAAGAAGCCGGGGGCAGCGAGCATAGGCAAACCCGTCCGCACCAGTGCATGCAGTACAGTATAACTACGAAAGTGCGCGGCGTGAGTCAGCTTCCTGGTATCTCGAATTTAAATGTGACTTTTCAAAATTCAATAATTAATAATGGAAAAGACTTTTCCCGTTCTTTTTTTTTTTAAAAATTATTATCCTCGACACTTGCTCGCGCAGGTCGGGTAAGTGAGGGGTCGTGGCTCTACTGATTAAACGAGCGGCTCAGTGTCGGGGTCAATGCCGGCCGCCAGCCTGCTAGTGAGCGCGGCTCTGAGCGCAGCCCAGCCTCCACACAAAAATGAACGTGGCGCGAGTCTCTCTACCAGACGACGATGATATCTCAATTCGCATGGAGATGGGTCTCTGCAGCAACCAGTCCTCTTGTCGAGTAGTAACCTTCGGCAGAATTCAGGGGCGTGGCGGTGCGGGGCGGGTGTGGCGGGTGCGGCTGGGTCCCTTTGCAGCAGCTCGACAGCGCCCCACCAGCCAGCCAGCCCCACCCGGACACCTGTCCGGTCGTTCAACCCTTCCGCGCTCCTTCCCCCCTCCTCTCCCACCTCAAACGCATCAAGTTTATGATCCAGCCCAACACATTGTTGAGTTGCCATGCGTCTCGAATCACCCTCTTCTTATGCCTTCTCATCCCCCTCCCCCCTTCCTACCTTCACTTCTCCCTCTCACCGCGTCGCCCCCGTCCTGCAATCGCGTCTCCTGGCTCCCTGACGGCGAGCCGCCTGCGCCTGGTCCTGGCCTGCAGAGCAACAGGCGCAACAGGCGGGCGAGCGGGTCGCCGGCCCGACTCGCCACTCTGGGCGACTCCCTCAACTCTGGAGCACACACTCCGCAGCGCCCATAGGAGGAGGGTCGCGGGCTTCCATGACAAAAACTCCCCGGCGATGATTCGCTCGCGGCGCGCCCGGAGTTTTTGTCCCGCTCTCGATGAGGATGCTCGACGCCCAGCAGCATGGGGTCATGTACTCTGAGTGATGATGGACGACAGCGAGATGTGCAGGCGGGGCGGGCGCGGCGGCCTGCCGGAAGACATCCTGCACGGGCACGTCGGACCTGCCTGGGGAGAAGAGAAGCCCTAGCCAGCCAGGAGGCTGGAGTCGTTGAGCGGCAGGTCCAGGGCGTAGCACGGGCACTGACCAGTGCGCCCGGTGGGGCGAGGGGGGGCAGGGCGGGGCATTGTCCGCGGCCCCTCGAGCAGGCTCTCGCGGAGGATTCGGACCTTCCTATATACGGCTCGGCGTGCCCCGGGCCCGGCCGGCATGAAGGCTGCTGACAGTGAGTTCGCAGACCTCCAAGTACGTACCACCGCGCTTCATCACTCGGGTGCCGGGGCCCCGGGGGCACACGCGAGGATGGCGGCGGGGGGGTTACACCTGGGGATGAG